ATTTTTTTTTTAATATATCTTTATTGATTTCAGAGAGAGGAAAGGAGAGGGAGAGAGAGAGAGAGAAACATCAATGATGAGAGAGCCATTGATCGAGCCCGCAACCCGGGCATGTGCCCTGACCGGGAATCGAACCCCGATCGCCTGGATCCCAGGTCGATGCTCAACCGCTGAGCCATGCCCGGCCGGGTGAGCCAACATTTTTAAGCCACAGTGAAAAGTACGCATAAAAATATTATACTATGGGTTCGCAAAAGAGCCAGGAATTTTTCAGTAAGACAACCTGGTTTATCCAGGTTGCTGCCAACCATGTAATTTCAGACCTGGAAGGATTTCAACAATTGTTTCAACAAAGCCCCTCAAAATGCAGACGCGGAAGTGAACCTCAGCGGTGCCGTAAATGTTGACAGGACGAGGCGGTTGGCAGCAGCCGCCTGAACACTGTCACGTGTTCCTGTTTCACTACTTCTGGGTTCTGCTTTCATCACTACATGCTGCTCTGTTCAAAACATTTACAGAAACAGAGCAATTAAAATTTATTCTGGTTTGCTGGAATAATGGAAGCCGTTTTTTCTACCTTAGAGGATGATCCCACACCCATAAAACTCTGACCCTGCTGCAGCCTTTAGATAACAGGTGACATGCTGCTACTACTATGATAGTGCAGTTTTATCTCTTGGGCATGGGCTGTTCACATTTTCTCTTTACATCTCTCTTTCTATATGAAGCCCTTAAAAATGACCCTAGGGACGTGCGCCCCCTTCCTGCCTTAATTTAGGGCTGGACGAACTCGTCCTTGACTGTGTCCGCCTCAGTCTGCACACTGACCTCCCAGCACAGCCACCGGCTGCCTGCTCCAGGGAGGGCTGATGGCCTCTGGCTCACTCTGCTCCACTAAATGGCTCTTGACCAGGTTCTTTTCATAGAAAGGCAAGTGAATGCCCAGCTCGTACCACAAAACACCGACAAATAAACACTTCAGCCGAAAGGAACTTTGAAAACCATTTAGTCCAACAGCCCAGTCCAGGCAGGAATCCTTTCTGAAACATCCAAGCAGAAGGCAGATGAAATGTACACTTGCCCTAAACGCTTCCAGTGAGCACGCCTCACGGCCTCGCCGCGCGGACGCTCTTTCCAACGGCGGAGCCTTGTCGTCTTGTCTTCAAGAGCTCTGCTTGCTCCTCAGCAACAGACACAGGACCGCTGTAACTGAACAGGCTATGGCATCCTGAACTCTGCGCAGAATGTGTGTTGGGCATGTGTTTTAAAACTCAGAGCAACTGACCTATGCCACCAGGTTAGAATGAAAAAGACAAACTGCACAGTTAGCTCACCCTTCATTTTCTGTTCCTGTTAAGTCATAGAATAGAAAAAAGATAGAAAAATTCTTGCTTTTGATTTCAAATTTAAAACCAACTTCTTAAAGTGAGGCCACTGAGTATTAGCAGACAATCTGTCCTAATACCGGACGGTAATCCCACGCTTTAGTATTTCAGTGGTTCCCTCATTGCATGGAGAGCTGGAAGTCAGCAGCTGTATGTCTTTCTTTCTTCCCTTTCAGAGTCTCTTGCTTTCGAAACAAGACTCTACGTGCCCTACAAGGTGTCTAAACCAGACGGCGGCTCCACTCTGTATTCTGCAGAGTCAGAAAGAGAATCACTTCTTTTGTGTTGTTTATGATACATATTCTTTAATGAAGGGAAGACAGACAAAAAGATTTGTTAATCAGATAACTTTTTGGTATTTGTCAAGCATTTTTGTATTGTCAGTAAGTTATTTGTTCTTGAAGTACAGCTCACTACAGTACAGTCATATTGATAGAAGTGTGTCAGCAACATGTGTGTTAAACTGCAGTGGATGGAGACCCGTCCATCCACCTGATAGATCCAGGAAACTGGATTTTCTGAAATAATAATTTCCCTCTTATTTGGGAGTGTGCCTGGCTGGGAAGACCTTTATATGTGGCATCTGTCATTGCCTATCTTGGTGCAAATGCCAGGAAGGATACACATGGGATATACGGCAGTGGGTTCCGAGGGTATGAAATCTGTGTTACTGTGGGCGTTGGTCCAAATTGTAGGACCTTTAGCTGGAAGTTTCCCGTAGGCTCTGGAGAGGCAGTCAGGGTGGTGTCCCTGGGACCCACGGCACTGACCCAAAGGGTGCAGAGCCACACAATCAGAGGGTATGGTAACTCCCTCAGGATCCACGTGACTGCACCGATGTCCCTGGGCTAATGGCTACTCCAGGGTCCACCTCTGAGGTGCTGCCCACCTAGACCAGACCCTGCAGTGAGTTCACATAGTCCTCTGATAGAGTCCCCAGGGCTGTACTGCTTCTTCCTGTGTTTGCTTGAGTCTTATAGATAATCTATGCTCAGTGAGTCACCTTGAAGGGCCTCCTTTATTAAGAATCGATGTCTTCTCCTAGGTGTCTGAGTGCCTGGACCCAAGGGCTGCATCCTTATGGAGGACAGTCCCAGAGCTGGAGCTGCAGCTGAGCTCCTGCAGGAGTGCCTGCACCTGCTGCGCCTGCTCCGGGAGGCCCCCGCGCAGGACCAGGGCGAGGACCAGCGGCACAGAGGTGAGGTCCTCCCCTGCCCCGCTTCTCTCCTCCTGCAGATGATGGGGAGATGAGTGGGTCTGGGGTGTGAATGGAGGGGGCTGCGGGAGGGCGGCAGGAAGCCCACTTTGTTGCAGTGAATGGCTGTCAGTTCTCATTTTAGGCTTCAGTAAACAGGAGCCTACAAGAAACAGTTTAGTTCAAGAGCAAAGGCTCCGAGTGGGCCGGTGCCTGTAAATTTCAATTATTAAGATTTCAACTTCTCAATGGTGGCACACACTTTTTTTTACAAACTGGGCTTTTGTGCCACCACATCAGTGTCCGTAGACGTCTATGGTTTCCATCAGGGTCACCCCATCAATGCGCTTCTCATGTTGTAAATTCCCACGCCGTTTGTAAAACAAAGGCGCTCACGCTGACAAATCTGTCCTGCGTTGTTCAAGAATTCAGCTTTCTGCTCATTTCCTCGTTTGCGAGCTGTGTCAGATGAGGGCTTGGGGAGTTTCCGCCACAAGCCGGCGAGGTGCAGCGGTGCTCATTCGTTCCGTAGCCAGTTTTGGGACACAAGCTTCTTCCTCAGGTTCCTTTTAATCAGGATGCATTTTCCTCCACTTCTGTGTGTGTCCCTTTTATGTGCTTTTAACATTTTTCTTTATGTTTGTAGCAATTTGCTACTCCTTGCAGAAGTAGGGCTCCCACGGAACACACACCCGTACCTCTTTGTTGTTGATGACGTAAAGGTCCTGGGTCGGCTTCCTGCGCGCTTGCAGGCAGGCACAGTTTTACCTGTAGGCACCTGTAGAAGTCCAGTGCTGTGTACTCTGTCCTTTGTGCTCCTTTCAAGATAAGATGCCCTCTGCCCAGTTGTTCCACATCTAGGTTTATGTGTTTTCTTTCCTTACGAGCCAGACACACCATAAGACGGACCCTCCTTTTAGCCAGATGGTGTGACTTACAGAGGTGAGGAGACCTGATGTTGTCTTCAGGAAGCTTGCAGGCCAGGGAGACAAGCTGTGGTCACAGAGCAGTGGGATGAGCCCTGGGAAGGGCATGGCCTGTGGGTTTGGGGGTGCTCAGGTGGGCACCTCAGTGACACGGGAGGCAGGGCAGGCAGAAGGGAAGTGGCAGTGTTTGCTTCGAATGCTGGTCTGTGGACCTGAGCTGGATCTCAGAGGGGTTGGGAGAGGGCAATCCACGCAGGGCGAGCGGGTGTGTAAACCCTTAAAGAACTTGGTGCCGGCCAATGCCGGTCTCCTGTGCTTAGGAAAAACGAGGGTGAACAATGTGGAGGGTACAGGTGGGCAAGACTGGAGGCAGCGGGACAGACAAGAACTACTGATAATGAAGACAGAAAATGGATTTCAGATCCACAGAACTTGACACCCAGTTAAATTCAGAGAGGAAAAGAGAACAAGAAGTCCAGGCGGACTCCTGGTGTCAGACTTGGGGGCTCGGCGAGTGCTGGGAGCTTTCATGGAAGCAGCGAGCAGGGGAGGCGCGGCTGCGGGCGGCCAGCCCA